ATAAAAAAATTTCCGATGTGTTCTAGTGGCTAGGTGGACTCGAACCCGGGCCCTCTAGCTTAATCTAGTTTATAGGCGGCGACGCTACCACAGCGCTACCGTGCCGCCTACCATGAACTTACGCTTAACTTTGCTTATATGTTTACACTAAACTTTAACCCACTTTTAACCCCCTTAAACCCCACCAGGCAGAATTAAGATTTGTGCTAGTGTTTTACATTTACCATAAGCTATCCATTGATATATATTTTATTAAGATTGGCCATGGGCAAGGTAGAGTAGTGGATTGTTAGTATAGACATCACTATAGATCCTAAATTTGTTAAAATTCATATTATGCGCCAATGTTAAAGTCAATTAAACAGTGTGAACTGGTACAGTGGCCAATCAATATCGTTTTAGAAAGTGTTCTGAGAAAGTATTATTGCGAAATTTAGGATTAAAAGACATGACAATTAATTAAATAACATGTTTTAAAACCCTTAGAAAAGTGGCAGTAAGGGAAAAACTACACCAATTAGTAGCAGATGTGGTCGACTCGAGCGCACACACCATGAAAACGACTCACCCATTGGGAGCACCCTTTGATCCCAAGTGCTATCTCTATCACTCGGTTATGGCTATACTCGCGTCCACTGCTTTCGGGAAGCGGTACTTATTTCACAAAATTAAACATTAAGGTCATGAACTAATTCTAAATTATATAATTCTAAACTTAAAATCATCTTAAACTAAAAACATCAGATTTAGTCAATTTTAAAATTTTGTTAAGAGTATAACGATTTGGCAATCATTATAATTTTTACTATATTATTAATTATGTAATTATAAGTATATTGCATTGCAATTACAACTAGATATAAGTTAGACGACAAAGAGCTGTAATTTTATGGCAAGAGTCTTGAGTTCATGCAAAGCCGGACGAGTCTATTGGCGGCCATCGATCGCATACCACTCTTAAGACTGATCCCAAAATACGGCAATTATGAGCGCAAAGTGTTTGAAACGGCCAGAAATGTGACCAATAGTTGTAAACAACAATATATGGCTCACCTGAAGACCTATTCCTCGGGAGTCGTCAATGACTTCTGCGACGCTCTCATTGAGTCCAAAAGAAAAGGCCATTAAAAATAGTGACAAGGATTGTAATTTTAACTCCCGATTTTATTTCCAAATTTGACTGTTTTATGCTCCCGATTCCCGCCCGAATTTAAGTGTTTTTATTCACGAAAAATAGAGACTACACATAACGCATAATTTATGCTCTAGTCTAAAATACCACTAAGTCAATAATATCGCATCAAAACACAAAAACTTAACTTTCGAAATATAACTTTTGAATATTAAAACTTTTTAAACTAAATTCAAATTAAGGTATTTTAAAATATAATTTTGCATGTAAGATAATGTGCACTTTAGATTATTTTTAATCTAAAATATTTAATAAAAGTAATAAAATATTATACAAAAAATAATAATTATAATATAATAAAATCAAATAATTATATAATCAAATTTATTTATGTAATTTATAATCACAATTTTGTGTCATATGTTGCATCAGAAGGATTGCCAAAATTGCAATCGCGATCCCTGTCCTCGTCGTCGACTTGTCTGGTATTAAGTCTCTTAAGATGTGATTCTTTAGCCATATTTATTAAATGATTGAACATATGTTTCCCAGTCTTGCGGCACATGTCATACAACTGTCCCTTTCGTTGCAGTAAAACAAACGGTTCGTCAAACTCTATG